TCAGGTTCGTGCTGTGTTGCTCTTTGATATGCATAATGTTGTTTACAATGTTGTTCAGGTTTTGTGTTGCTTCCAATGTTGTTATATACATTCACTAATATTTTGCTACGCCAACGCGCTGTGGTGCTGCTTACAGGATGAATGAGTTCTACAACGTTTGCGTAAAGTGTGAAGCCTGGTTTGACGATATGACGTGGCTTCTATCTATTAAGTGGGTGAACATGCTAGATACACCGGAGCTATTTGATGAAGAGACAGACTCAGATCAGTTGCTTCCTTCAGAGGCGGGGGCAAAATACGAAGAACTGGCCAAGGGCACTACAAATATTCTACGCGGTACCTGTCTGGCCTCTGAATTCAGACTAACTAGTGGTGAATGCTCGATCAAGGTGGATAATATGGTGGGGAGTTTGGCTCGGGATAGAATGCTGAACGACCTCATCATTAATTTCTGCATTCGCTACATCTGCAGTACGCTGGGTGACTGCTACGCTATGAGTTCGTTCGCACCAACTATGGGATGGCCCAACCCACCAAAGACACGGATATCGACATTTCACTATGTTGTTCTACCTGTTCATCTGAGTGGTTTCACTGGAGAATTATCATCACTAGACTTGCTTATAAGCAAGAACAGCCTTGCATCACGCCATATTACAACAACCCGTTGTGCGGCAAAGACTATCGACCTACAATGGAAGTTATTTATCTGACAACTGTAGCTACATTTTTTCGAGACTGGCACGACAAAACCGTGCCAAACATGGATTTCTCTGTTGAGGCAAATGGTGTGTGGCTGGACGCCCCGAAACAACCGGACGGAACTTCATGCGGTGTGTTGTGCATCGCACAGACATACGCCATGTTAAAGTACAATTTTCGTTTGACATCAGTGGCTACTACGGGAGGCGAGATTTCTATCACGCGACTTCGTATCATGTGGGTCATCCTGATGCAGCTCGATGTGACTACGGCATCAAACAAACGTGCTAAAGCAGTAGAGGCAACCGGACCAAAGTTATTTAAAGCATTCAAGATATTAAAAAAATAAATTGCCAAGAGCATTCTTGAATTATGTTCGCCTTTGACTAGACAAATGTTTCTTCCTTGAGCATCCAACGCGTTTGTCGCTCACAAGTGACGTTCCAGCAGTATGCTGCAGCACTGTTCGAGTGCCACATCATAC